TCCCAGCCTAACAACAATGCAGCAACCATATTCCAGCCCACAATTCCAATTCAAAATACACATACAACATATCGAAAAATTTTACAATGGGAGAGGCCCAACCAACAAAAGTTGTGTGAGGTTCCATTCTTCTTTTGACACTTGGATGGTGGACCCATTTGTTGTGTGAGGCTCCATTCTTCTTTTAACACTTGGATAGTGGGCCCTTTTTTTACTTTTTACATGTTATCCACCACTTCTCTTCCACTCACTCCTCTCTTCTTTTATTTTATTTTTTTTACTCCTAATAAATATCTAATTCTCAAAACATAATTAAATAATTAATACATTTGATAAAAAAAATATCGATAAATACATTTTCTGTTAAAATAACTTAAACATTTATAAAATTGTTAACATTAAAAATAAACTTATTTTTCAATATATTTAATATAATCAAATTAACTCAAAATACAAACTAATTTACTTTAGCATATAAATTAATTTGTCTTGTTTAAAAATTATAGATAATTTTTTCATCTTAATTATAATTTAAAATAAAAATACTAACGAGATAAACATGACAAATGGGACGAATTTATAAACAATTTAAAAAATTATGCAGGATAAAGCAAATCACATAGTAAAATTTAAGTTTTTGAATATAAACTTTAAATACTTAATTTATTCTTCAAGAATCAATTGGTTTCAACAACGTTTAAATTAACTACTCATTATTATTATTATTATTATTATTATTATTATTATGCGTTTTCTGTATATCAAGAGGTCTTCACATTCACTTACAATTTTATTTCTTTAGCGTTTTTCCATTAAGTATTTTAAAAGATTGTAACTAAAAAAATTAAAAATTAACTGATAATCTATGTTAAGATAATGACTGCACATATATGAACTAAAGTCTAAGACAAAACAAAAGGAGCTATCAAATAATAAATTTGAATTAATTTTATTTTTGAAAAACGCTAATAATTAAGAAATTGGATTTTTTTAGTTAATTTTATACTATTAACAATATTGAATTATAAGATTATTTTTAATCTTCAGTCATGAGAACGTTTTCATTTGACAAAAATATTTATTAGTATTTTTATTAATTATATCAATTGTTTATTTCTATAGTTAGGAGTTGGATATTTATTAGGACTTAGGAGTAAAAAGAATTTTTAAAAATGAAAGAAAAGAAGAGTGAGTGGAAGAATAGTAAAAAGTAAAAAATGGGTCCACCATCCAAGTGTCAAAAGAAGAATGGAACCTCACACAACTTTTGTTGGTTGGGCCTCTCCCATAATAAAATTTTTCCAACATATCCAAACAACAATTCCTAGCCGACCCCATCCCCTTTCCCTTCCAAGTTCCAATACATACATCAACATATACATACAACAAGACACACAGTACATGACCCCACTGCCCAAACCGTCTTCTTCACGCAGAAATCCCGGCAAACCCGAAAATCCAGCAGTAAATCCCGGCGCGACAGTGTCCGCCCATACGTATGTCATCCTCACGTCCAATCGTCCCGATTTTCCCCCTTTTCGGAGTTTAGAGCAACAACAACTCCCCTATTACTTTTACTGTTGCCTCGAAAAGGAACGGGGAGATTCAAAATTCAAACGGATTTTGCCCAAAAATGAACCCTATTCTCGATCTATTTAAGATCCTTTTCTCGTTGTGTTTGGGAAGGGGGGTTCTGGATCAAAAAAAAAAAGGAAGGAAATTTTTTAGAGACGAATTTACTACTCTAAAACAGAGGAATTTCGTCAAAAGAAGGACGATTTATTCTCTAGAACATAAAAACTCTTCAGCTTTTTTTACTTGAATCCTTCAAGGCTTTTCGGAATTGGGTGAAGCTCCGCTTGAAGGTGTGGAAATCACTACTCAGCTCACCCTCTCGTTCCAGTCGCTGCCCAGGAGAAGGTAATGCCTATAATACTCCTCAATTTATTTTACTATTTTTTTTACTTTGCTATGGTGTTTTGATAATTTAGAATCATTGTTTTTTGTTGCTAGGTGGTCGTTAATCGGTTTTGAATGTTGATATATGCTACATGTATGCTTAAGTAATCTCTTTGGTTTATTGTTGGATATTGTTTTGCTCCTTCAACTTTATCATGGCAAATTTTATATTTTCACTGCTCAAGCCTATTTCGGCATCTGCTTCATTGGCATTCGAATGTTGAGTCTGTTTTGTTTTCAAGCATCTGTTTTCTCCTCTTTGTTTTAGTTATTCATTTTTTTATTTTATTTTTCTCATTTTAGTCATCATGTGTTAGGTGTATATTATATTAAAGCCAATGTTTTCGTTGTGCTACTTGAAGTTTTGTTTCGTTTCCTTAGTAAAATATATGGCGGAATTCTCAGTTTCTTTCTTCATTTCGCTAAAAGTTTGAGGTTTAGCTGGCAGTATCTCTTTCACTATAAATTTCATACTCTACTTTCCATTTGGGTTTATGTCATATGCTTGAGTTGATGTTTCTACTTGAATGATATTTTCCATTCGATTCGTCGTTCTTCCCTAAGTTCTGTCGATATAGGATATAGATATGTGCGTTGCATTTATTGCTAGTTATCATACTTTCAAGTTTGAAAATGTCCTATGTTTGCTTGAAATTGTTGAAGATTCATACCCCTGTGACTTCATTATTGGTTGCTATTACTGTGTAATCTCATTTAAGTTTTCTGCCCTCTTTTGTTTGTAGTGGGAACTTTGTTGGCACTTCAATTAATTTTCCAATTATTATGCCCAGATTTTTTATCTTTTTTTTTTTCTTTTTTTTTATATAAATAGAAAGAGAGAAGGAAATAAATAATAATAATAAAAGCAAGTTACAATGATTGTTTACATTTGTGAATTTACGATTTGCGCTTTGCCATCATGTACTTACATTTATTTCATTTTCTTTTCCCTTTGTTATTATGGTGAGTTGTTATGATCCATTTCTCCATCCTAATCGTTTCATCTTGTTTTCTTTGCATAAATTCCCTTGGATCGAGTTCTTCGGACTCCTCTTTGCCTTGTATTTTGAGTTTGGGTTGAAACCCAATGTTTTCCCTATTTTTCGAGTCAACCCCTATTTATGTGGATCGTGGGGAGGCAGATATACAGGGTGAGAGCAGGTCATAAGTCCCAAAAGCCCAAAAGGGGATTGTATACAAGATGTATACAGCTGTACACATTCAGTATACACTGATATACAGGTAAAAAATGTGAAAATAAAGAGATGAGGTGAAATATAAGTGTTCGGAAGCAGGAAATACACGAAAAAGGCTGATATACATGCCGATATACATCGATATACAGAAAATGTATACAATAACGGGTTTTGGTTAAACCCCAAAAAATACCAACGAAATTGGCCCAAAAGGGGGCCCAAATTCAATTTCTCCCTTACTCTTTAATTATTTAATTGTGATTATTTATTGTTTGTTGTTTAAGTCTAATTTTATAATTGTAAATTAACTTAGTTGAATTCCCCAAAAGATGAACCATTTCTCTGTGTTGTTTTGTTTCTAACAAATCTTATTTTATCAACTCTTGTATTTTCATTTATAATCTTTAGTCAAAACTTTTTTTTTAAATTTTATTTTTATTAGTTTAAAATAGTTTTCATAAACCAAAAAAATGACTCAAATAATAACCAACTAATTTAGTTTCGTTAAAATTCTTATTACTTGTCTCTAATTCAAATGTTTCAATTAAGGTTCCATTTTTCTTAAAAAATAAAAATCGCTCTTTGTTTAACTATTTTTACAAGTTAATCTAATAATGTAAAATATTATTATAAATACTTATTTAGTCATTTTCTCAAGAAGGTTAGTCAAAACTTTTTTTCTTCAATTAATTTAAAATGATTTTCATGCTTTAATGTATTAAATTGGTTCAAGTTATTTTAAAATGAATTAAATAAATTCTAATTAATATAGTTTTGTTAATATTCTAATTACTTATATTTCCAGTCAAATATTTCATTTTGAATCCCTTTTCTCAAAAAAATAAAAATGTGTCATTTATTTAACTATTTTTTCTCAAAGTTAATCAAATATTGTAAGTTTTTATTTTATGTTAAATCGTTATTTTCCTAAAAATAGTCAAATATATTTTAGTTCAAGTCACAGGTCAACCGCATGTTAGCGGGCATTTCGAATGCTTAAACCCTTCTCGAAGTGTAAATTGAACCCCGAACCTTCTTTGGTATTTTTCAAATGATTTTTTCTGTTTAAATCTTTGAAAATTTATAAGTTTTCTTAATTTCTTTAAAATTAAATGGCGACTCTTTTCTAAGTATTTTTTTCAAATTGTTTTACTTGGAACATTTTAAAAAGTGATTTTTCTAGAAATAGTCAAATTACGACACAACACTTAGTTCAATATTCATTATCTTAATTAGCATGCTATCAAATGATGATGAGAGATTCAATTTGGCATAACATGACTAAAAAAGCGAGTTAGATATAAGTCGAGAAGCTCGTGTTTAGGGGCGTGTTCGGTATGAAGAAAATATTGTTTGATTGAAAACAAACTCCTTAAAATAATAGAAAATGATTCCAAATAAACACCTTGATAGATTTGGAATATCTTTAATTTAAAACCCAAAAAATTATAGATTTTATTTATTTTTTCATACTTCTTCGTATCTGGTCAAAAGGTGAAAACAAAATGAAAAGCTTAGGACAAAGATTTTTTAGGTGAAAAAAATTAGTAAGACTAAGAACAAAGATGGAAAAAAAATTAATTTTTCTTTCCCTCACATTATAATATAGCACATGATGCGAGCACTACACTCATTAAAATAAAAATGGGTAAATCACTTAGATATGTTATATTGAGAAAATATTTACCATTTATGACTATAATTTATGTTTAACTAAATCTATCAGTTTCATGGAATTAAAATTGTACAACTTCGGACTCATTTTCTTTCCTATTTATTCGTCTCTTTCTCTACATATGATTTCTCCTCTCTTTTTTTCTTCTTCTTCTTCTTAAAATCTTTAAATATTCATCTCTTCAAATTGATTTATACCCATGTTGCACGATTTACACCGAAAATATCACGAGGAGAAGAATACAAAGAACCAAAAATTGTACAAAATCATGTGTGCAAATTGAGATTTCAAATCTCTAAAATTGCAGCAGCAAGCCATTGATGACCATTAAAAAGCTTCAAGGTTTGAATTCATTATTTGGATTTTATGAAAGTGTGATGCGTTTGTATAAGTTGTTCTTCCATATTATTGAAAATAACATTTTGGAGTTTATATCTTAGTTTAAGGGAGATTCATTAACTTTAGCATTGATTTTATGAGAAATTTCAAATTAAAACTTGAAGAAGACGAAGATTTTGGAATTGTTTTGCAACTGTATTAAAATTGAATTAGATCTATTTCATAATTGTATTAAAATTGAATTAAAATCATGAACAATACATTTATAATACATATTTCAAATATATCATCTTCTTATATAATTCAAAATAATTTATAAGATACGTATAATACATGTTTTATTTACGAATAATGATATATGTTTAATTCAGTTTATAGATCATTGTCTTGTCTTTCGTTAGTTACGTTTTCAATTCATTCATAATTCTCTCTTCTAATTCAACTTTAATATTGTGTAATACAATTTTAATTCAAATTTAATTCATTTTGAAGTTTTTTTATTTATTTGTTACTATTGGATACTTATTAATTCATTATTGATATAACTTATAAGTTTAATTTAGTATAGATCATTGTCATGTCTTTCGTTAGTTACGTTTTTCATTCATTCTTAATTCTCTCTTTTAATTCAACTTTAATACTATGTAATACAATTTTAATGCAAATTTAATTCATTTCGCAATTTTTGGATTTATTTGTTACTATTGGATACTTCTTTAATTCATTATTGATACAAGTTTAATTAATTGTAGAGATCATTGTCTTGTCTTTTGTTAGTTACATTTTCCATTCATTCTTAATTCTCTCTTCTTATTCAACTTTAATACTGTGTAATACAATTTTAATGCAAATTTAATTCATTTTGCAGTTTTTTGATTTATTTGTTACTATTGAATATTTGTTTAATTCATTATTGATACAAGTTTAATTTACTAAATAGATCATTGTCTGGTCTTTCCTTAGTTACGTGTTTTTATTCATGCTTAATTCTCTCTTCTGACTCAACTTTAATATTTGTGTATTACTTGTTTAATTCATTATTGATACAAGTTTAATTTACTAAATAGATCATTGTCTGGTCTTTCCTTAGTTACGTGTTTTTATTCATGCTTAATTCTCTCTTCTGACTCAACTTTAATATTTGTGTATTACTTGTTTAATTCATTATTGATACAAGTTTTTTTCAGTTTACATGCAGATCAAAGAATGCTCGATAAAAGAATGCTCTTTTGTTTGCTACATTTTGCATTCATGTTTGATTCTCTTCTAATAATTCAACTTTAATATGTTTGTAATACTATTTTTAATTCAAGTTTAATTCATTTTGCAGTTTCTTATGTCTCTTTATTTGTTACGATTAAATTACTTGTCTAATTAATTATTGATACAAGTTTTATTCAGTCTAATTTCATTGACTACTCTACGAAAGAAAAGAAAAAAGAGCAATAGTAAGAGAGGGAGAAAGAGCAACAAAAAAAAAGGGAGAAGGAACAGCAGAAAGAAAAAAAGAAAAAAAGAAAGGGAGAAAGAGTGAGACAGAGAAAAGAGAGAAATTAAAGAAGTTGTTATAAATGGTAATAATTTAAGAGTATATTTAAAATAAGTAATTATTTTTTAAAAGGGATCCACTCAAGTAATTTTGACACACATAAATAACACATTTTTGCCTTACTATATAGTTTTTCTTTTTTCAATACACCAAATCAAATACTGTATAAGAAATAATCTCGACATAACTAATATAAACATAATTTATATCAGAATTACTAATACACAATACTCAACACTATTTTTTAAATTTTTTTTAGATAAGTAAAGGGCAAAAAAGTATTTATAACTAAAAATGGATTACTTGTGTTCAAGCTCAAGGATAAATAGAGGCAAAAAAGTGGCCAACTCACATAATTTCAACGTGCAGCCATCAAATAGGAACAACTTTGATTACTGACTACTTTAGAAACTATAAATATAATTTAAAACTTCTTTAAAAAGCTCAAAAGGGTAATTCCCAGTCCCCAGCAGCAGATTCACTGTGCAATCTGAAAATCCGAATATCCTTCAGGTTTGCTCTCTGCCTATCTCTCTCATCCATTTGGCTTCTGTACTGTTGCTTTCTGGTTCTTTTTATTTTTCTGTAAATAGCTTATCTGTGTGGGGAATTGCTAGATTTTGTTAACTTTAGCTCGAGAGTCGGATTCAATATTTGAAGTTTACGACTTCCTATACCTATAATAAGTTAATAACTGGCTTTATTTGGTAAAAGTTTTAATAGAATTTGAACTTAAGTTTTCATGAACCGCCTCTGGACATGATAGATCTGCAAATATTACCCGATCACTAATAGTTTCCTTGAACAATTTAGCTTGAGATTATCTAAAGTGGGTGTTGATTTTTTTCTTTATAATTTTTTCACTTTATTTGAAAATCAGTTGTATTTCAAATTTGGGAAAATAATAATTATAACATGTTTTCTAACTCACTTTTCACTTTTGAAGTTGTGTTAACGTACATTCAATCAGCTCCAAATATTCTTTGCAAAAAGTATAACCAAACACAGCTTCGTTTTCAACTCCAACTCCATAAATTACAAATGAAGGAAAAAATATTTTGATCTATGGCCAAATGCCTTGTAATTCAGTAATTATTGCTATATTTGACTTGAAAATGCTGGAATTGTCCGGTCTTTGTTTGTTTTTTGAGATTGGGAATTGGTACAAGGCTGCTTTGTGTGTTTCTTTAAGTACTTAGAAAGGGGTTTTTTAATTGGTTATAAATTGGTCAATAGTAACTTCATTGCATCTGGGGAATGTGCACACATCAATTTGGGATTTAGAATCTCTATAATCATATAAACTTACTTTTATGAAGTGGTTTAGTGAAATCCAGCCATCGATGCATGGTTTACTTTGACTTTACTTGTGAGGCACCAATTAGTAGCCGAGGCGGAACTAGGATTTTGAGGCTGTGGGTTTTGCATTCTAGAAAATACAACTTATTGAGTTCTGGATACATTATATGTATATACGTATTAAATGAATTTTAAAACACAAATACAAGATTTGTGCCAAAGCTTCTAGGTTCGGCTGAACTCGTAGACGGGCTTGTAGCTCCGCCCCTCATTAGTAACTAAGATTCCAACATTTGTGAACTGAAGCATACTTTTATTGGATTCTTTATCCATCCTAGCCGGGATAATGGCTGAGCCAAGGTTTCAATAAGTACTATATGTGGCGTAACAGGTTGACGGTTGATGATGTGTTAGATTTTTTATCACTTCTATCTAATTATGACTTATTCATTACCCTGTTTTTTGTTTTAAATCGTTTGACTAAATTAAGCTCAAGTTGGGTGATGCTTTATTGCTGCAGTTGGTTGGGATAAAACGGGTAGTTAACGAGAATTTTTAGAAGGAGAGAAAAGGCTCAGATTGGTCGTCTTTTCCTTTCGGTGTCAAAGTTACCAGGGTAGGAGAAAAAAGAATGAAATTCCAAAAGTTACCACACAACGAGGATATATATTATAATCGCTGAAGAACATAAATACAATTGAGAAATGGAAACAATTAACGTCCTTACAACGAAACTGAGAAAACTTAACTGAAGGGAAAGAAGATCAGGAAATATAGAGCTAGATAGAAGGAGATGGGAAACTTAGACTCAGAAGGGAGATGAGAGGAAACACTCTTTTCTTAACAATTTTCATAATCCCTAAAACACATATCACTATCTTTTTGTTGGAACCGTTTCATGCCCACTACTCAACCCGGATTCCAAATTAACTTGGCCCTATTACTCGTTCTCGGCCTAATAGCTCTTGTCAGCCCAATAACAACTTGTATGACATTAGTATCTACATTGGGCTGGACTTGGTTCATAACAATACTCCCGTCGTCAATAAGAACCTTGTCCTCAAGGTTCAAGGCAATAACAATGGAAATAGCATGCTCCTCACCAATTGCCTCAGATAACAGTAGCTGAGTAGATTGAACAATCTTGACCCATTTAAAAGTCACAATACCTGCAACATAGATGCACTCAAAACCACACATGCAATTTATATTAATCATTGGACACACACTAGTATGAGTATCAACCCAAAATGAGATGTCATCAGGAGAAATATATATCATTTTCAAACACCAATAAGCACATTGATCTGTTGACACTTTTTGATGCTGCATTATAGCTTCAACAGTTAAATATTTGTCAATCCATGCACCAAGTGGTTTCGTCATTGATATTGTGATTTTGTGCACTACTTGAAACAATGAATTAGTCCCAAATAAAACCAAATCACAACTCACTATTTGGGATGAAGTTTTTGCACTGAACATAGGCATGTTGAAAGCCATATTTCTGAGATTTGGGTGAATCTGTACTAACCAAGGAGGTAAAATGTACTCTTGACCATAAACCAACACAATTGTTGTTTTAGGCACACTGATAGGTACCATAAGAATTGTGCAGACAATTGACTTGGCCATTATTGTGGGGTTGTCCATTATAAACAGGTCTCTCCTGCTTTGGCTCCAGTAACGCAGCATAAACAAGAGTAAGAACACAAAGCTTAATATCACTAGGCATATCCTTAGCTTCCACGCACGTATATATATCAAGTAAAACTTGCCATCCATTATCTTGTGGCAAACTCAACCACACATAAGAAAATACCAAGAGTCCCCTTAATGTCGTCTTCCTCCTTTTTTTAGATTGAGTACTCTCTTTCAAGTGAGCATCAAAAAAGTAATGAAAACGTCTAGAAGTAATATCAATAAATTCGAGCAATAGGTGTGCCTCGGTGGTCTCCCTAAGACCATTTTGGTGCATAGTCTTGGAACTGATTCCCGGATCCCACACACAATTAACCTTCACCGTTCCACCAACCTTAACGATGAACATATTCACTCCGGCATCCATAGAAAAGAAACATTCAGCATGTCTTATTCCCTCATTAAATTTTTCCTGTTTAACATCATTCCTCACATCATTAGATTGAATCTCACTCTTTGAAACACCACCCTTATTCTCAAAAAGTAGTTTACCAAGATATAGATCCTCAATTATTGTAAGTTTCAGGAAAATTATGTCAGCATACATTTTGTCAGATGCCACCAAATCAATTTTATGTCTAGAAAAGCCACTACAAGGAGAGTTGGCATCTAAATACCTCATTGGTAGGGCGTGTGTGGATTGTGAGGGCGACACTATAGGTTCTCGACCACCAAAAGTAATAAACAAATACTCTTTGTCTGTTAAGTGCAGTTGCTGAACAGTTTGTGTTTCTTTAGGTGTTTCAACTAGCACCCCAACCAGTAACAAAGTAAACATAACATTGGATACCTTCCAAGCTTCATTGGATATTGTGTCGAACACTTGGTGCACCTTTGAATTGCCCGATTCTTTAGCTAGGACGTAACTCGCCAACACGTCGAGCAACCAATTGTGAGCTGCTCCTTCACAGCTGTTTTTGAGTCGTCCCCACTGCTATAACAACTTGAGCACATAATGGCAAAAAATTGGACATTGCCACCTTGAGCGCCAATAATAGGAAGATAATCATTCTTATCAAAGTCCGTTGCAGATAAATGATCACCACATTTCCTACGTCTGAACACGAAGGTAATGGACTGAGAAACATATTGCCCAGTGTCAAACCAATAACAAGTGGGTAAGCCATCTGTCATGCTCTCAATTGCTAGAGCCCCAAAATGGGAAAAAAATGACTGATTGAATAGGCTTGGATAAGACTCAGCAATCTCATCCTCATCATCACGAGGGATAAGGGAGATCTCACCATCAACTCTTATTGGTGCATCAAAGTTAGAACTCAAAGTCTCATAGAAAACAGAATTTTCAGTCACTACAAGCTTCAGATTTGCAAATTGGCCCTGTAGGGTGAACTCGTTTCGCTGGAGACTTCCACCGAACACTATGTCTGTATTAGTTTCAAGACATTCATCTTCCGCAACATTTGATTTCCTAGAGTGCATATCACCACGATAATCAATTTCAACGCACCAAGTAGGTGTACTTACCACCTCAGTTACTTGCAAAGGCATTTGCAACCCCATTGAATTATCCTCTACCAAGTCAAATGCCATGTCAAATTCATGGATCGAGTCTTCAATCTGGTGAGAACTTTCATCAAACACCTGGTCTGCATGACCTGAATGTTCATCTCCCATGACCGAATCTGTCCCAACTAAAAGGAAGTTTGTATCGATCAAAGTGTCAAGATGTACCTCAAAATTATTTGCAATGCTTGATTGTCCATCACCCAAAGCAGAGGCAATCTCTTCGCTATCCCTCGTAGTAGCACTGTCAAATGCATCTTCTATTGCAGCCTCTTGAATTATTGTTGGTGACAAGCCCGTGATATTGGAAATACTGGAAGTTGGGATATGGGTGTTGTCAAGTTACTTAGACATAACTGAAAAATTGTCCTGCACCTTCTGTAGCAAAGTAAGAATAGTCGTGATTTGCGATTGTGCAACTGGAGACTCTGGGGTGGTTCGTGCTCGAAAGCACAAAGATAACTTTTCCTTGAAATGCTTCCAATCCCAAAATTGTTTGTTGCGATACATCCAACGGAACCAGTCAAGTGCCTCACCATCGAGATAGAAGAAAGGAAGAGGTAGCCAATCATTCTCCGAGAAGCCAAGGTCCGCGAAGTATCGTTCGGCCCGAAAGATCCAGTCATCTGGATTACCCGTGCCGGTGAATCGATCTAAAACCACTATTGCCCTTAGAGTACTCTCAATGAAAGCACCAATGTAACAACTCAAGTTACCACACAACGAGGATATATATTATAATCGCTGAAGAACACAAATACAATTGAGAAATGGAAACAATTAACGTCCTTACAACGAAACTGAGAAAACTTAACCGAAGGGAAAGAAGATCAGGAAATATAGAGCTAGATAGAAGGAGATGGGAAACTTAGACTCAGAAGGGAGATGAGAGGAAACATACTCTTTTCTTAACAATTTTCATAATCCCTAAAACACATATCACTATCCTTTTTGTTGGAACCGTTTCATGCCCACTACTCAACCCGGATTCCAAATTAACTTGGCCCTATTGCTCGTTCTCGGCCCAATAACAACTTGTATGACATTAGTATCTACATTGGGCTGGACTTGGTTCATAACATTATCCCATATTGATGGTTTTGGAGTATAGTTATTCTTGTCACTTTTGCTTTTGAGGTTGGGATGACAAGTGGATAGGTATTACTAGTAGCTTAGATCCTAGATGTTCCATTAGGAAAAGCATTACATTTTGGATCGACTATTTTTAAGTACAAGTTAAGATGAAGTTTGCCCCAAACATATCGTGTGACTACCGAGCTTAGATCCACCCTGTTGTCTGAGGATAACTGGAATCTAACATCACCCTTTGTAAACAAGGATCTCTTTTCGCTATCTCATTTTCTTTCTTATTCAAAACTCGTTTTATATGACTTCTATATATATGATTATCTCATATATCAATATATGCAAATCCTTGTTCAATATTACACATAATCAGTTATGTGACAAGTTCTCATTTCATTTGAAAACATATAGGTTTAGTTTGAAACATGCCAATCCAAGTAGTTAAAAGATACTCATCTCATGACTCAGATGCTACCTGAAAGCTCATACCTTAGACTCTAAGAGATCATACTTATGAAACAAATATGTAATTCATATCTCAAGTAAAGTAGACATGCACCAAAATAATATCAGACGCATAAGCATGTCTCGAGTAGTGCTGGAAAACGAGCAGGTAGGGTCAGATATGGGCGGGTCAAAAATGGATTGGGCAAAAAATAGATAAAATATCTGATGACTCATATTTCATACGGATAAAAAATAGGTTGAGTGACGAATAATACAGGTACCGATAGTATCCATGTGGTAAGTTAATACCAGTCAACCTTGTTAGGTTCATTTTGGTTCTCCTTGGAAGCTCTAGCTTAAGTAAGTTCCGTGCTTAGTCATTTCTACAGATATTGTCAAATGTGACTATGTCAAAAGCTCTATGTAAAAAATGTTTTTATTTTGCATTGAGAAATGATGTACTATATCTGTACTCCACGAAAGAGCCATTTAGTTTCTGCTTCTCTCCTAGTTCCTTTTTTGGTGGTAACCTTTGCCAGGATCAGGAGATATTAGTACTAGTATACCAATCTACAGGAGGAGTTGCAGTAATACAATTTCTCAGTAGATTGAAGAAGAGCTTACTCCGTTAGTTTGTGGTCTATTAGCATAATTAACCGCAGTCCACCGAATATTATTTGATTTTTTTCTTTCTTTTTGAATGAATTGATTTCAGTGTCTCTAACTGCAGTATTTACTTTGTACGGGAAGTTCTCATCAGAATATTAACCTTAAAGAGTGGTTCAGTCATCAGTGGCAGTAGCTTCAGGTAAAGAGAAAACATACTGGAACTACTTGTTATAAGGGGAGGTTCAAAAGGAATTATCCAACTCAGTCAGAAGTTTGGGTTAAGGCGCTGTGCTTTGTGCTCGGAACTTCTATTTCTGTAGAAGCATATTGCTGTTATGTCATTACACAGCTTCTAAAACCTGTTTATCATTATCAATATGAATCCTTAAAATGAGTTCTGTGTACATGGACAGTGTTGTTGATTGGGCACTTATGGTTTCCTGAACTCTAGCAAATATAACTTATAAATACACCCGCTCTTCTGATTAGTATGTAGTTGTGAATACAATTCAAATTACTGCTATATCAGCTTATCACGGTGTTTTTGCAGAGCTCTTGATAACGTTGAACATATTCTTACACAATGGGGAATCAAGAGTCTGCCTTAAATGACGCTCACAGTGATCATTATCACCACAGTCCAGAACGTATAAGAAATCAAATTGGCTCCAATCCTCAATATCAGCCTACTACATATGCAGAAAGCTCCGTGGATTCTAACTATCGAGCTCAAGTTACATCATATGCCGGGGGTTCAGATAGAGCAAACTATCAAAGGAACCAGCAAGCCTCTTACATAGCTGATAACTTTAAATCTTTGGATGAGGTTAATTTCTTAATAACATGTTCATTCTTTCCAGATTTTTATAGAGTTTCACAGAACATCTCATGGTGGATTAAAGTGGGGCCATCAGATGGCAATGAACAAAAAATCGCAAGTTTGCATTGTTCTCCTTAACTTCAGATACCATCTTTTGTTTGCTTCAATTAATTTAGAGATTTTTGTTGTTTGTATGTTAACCTTTTACCTCTAATGAATTATGATACTTGAACAAAAGAAACAATTTTGTCACAATTCTTAATTATAAATCTTGTGTCTCAACATTTGAAGCGACTAAATATTCTATGAAGTTATACTGCCTTACTTTATTTAGAGAAAATATCTGTCGTAAAAGCTCATGGTGTGCTTCTTAGAAGCTAAAATAGATACATCTCAAATCAAGTACAATTGTGCATTGCACATTCACAGGTGCTGTCGGAAATATTAAGTGGTTTACTGTGTAACTTAGATCTGTCCAACCTCTAGAGAGCTGCTGCTCATATTACATTACAATATGTAGACATTGTTGTTTTCTATTTGATTTTATCACTCAAAATTGCTAAAGATAAAAATAGCCCACACTGAACTTATAGACCTAGTATTCTGAAAGATGATCATTGGAAGCATTGGTTCATTATTTGACCATTTTCTCTAGTTAGAAATTTAGAATTGACAAATCAACTTAGATTAGGCAAAAAGTCAACAATGAATCGGTTCATGTTGAGTTCCTATTTTTATTGCTTACTTCGCTAATGAACTTTAGTAGCTAGACTTTTTAGCAATGTAATATATAAATAACAGAAAGAGTTTCTATGTCAGGTTGTTACCGCGTTGCGAGAAGCAGGCCTTGAATCATCAAACTTGATTCTTGGCATTGATTTCACCAAAAGCAATGAATGGACAGGTGAACTACTTCATTCACTAGACTATTAGTCATTGTGTTTGTCTCGAGTTGTGGAGGCGATGGGTTGACAATTTTAAGGTTGTAGGGAAGTCCTCATTCAACAGGAGAAGCCTCCACTCAGTTGGTCACACAGCCAACCCATACGAGCAAGCCATCTCTATAATTGGGCGAACTTTGTCTCCTTTTGATGAAGACAACCTGATACCATGTTTTGGATTTGGTGATGGTTAGTCTTTGTTTCTGAGCCTTAATTTTTTCACAAACAATCAAGATGGTTTAAAACAACCTTAACCATGGATTATTCTCTCTGTAAATTTTAGCAACCACACACGATCAGCATGTGTTTAGCTTTTACCCTGATCATCGGCCTTGCAATGGATTTGAGGAAGCTCTTACAAGATATAAGGAAATTGTTCCTTATCTGAAATTATCAGGTTTAAGATGAATACTACTTTCATAATTTCCTTTATTCAGTGGTTGGATAGGGGTCATCTGTGTGGTTCATACAGTGTTTGATATGAATGGCTGCCTTTCTGAATCTTGAATTTGTAATGGTGGCATCCGTAGTCATATAACATCTCCTGTTGTTAACCTTGTACACTGAACTCTCAAAAAAGAGTAGGGATTATCTCATCCATCTTACGTTTGTATTCCATTGACAAAGTTTATATTGTGTTATGTTATATTTAATGAACTCCTGATTTATAGTTAGTGCATCTTTACAGTGTTGAAAATCTGAGTGGAAAAACGGAGGAACTAATTTTATTGATTCTAATTTGCTTGGTATTTTTTGGCAACCAGCTATTTAAATATACTTTACTACATCTTATATGTACGCAAGCAACAATTGATGACTATGTATATGATACATTAATTCTCTTAATACTATATTAACTTTTCTTATCTCAAATGTTACATTAGCTCTTATTATCATTTTCTATGCTCTATAAATTGCTGATATGTTCTCCAACATCTACATTAATTTGTGATATCATCTCCAACACTCCCAGTTGTGATGGGGTTTCACCAAGGATCAACTCTTAGCCCGTATTTATTTGCCTTAGTAATGAATGAACTGGCGATGCATAACCAAGGGGAGGTGTCATGGTGTATCCTATTTGCAAATGACATAGTATTGATTGACGAGACACGCGGCGGAGTTAAGATAGGCTGGAGATTTGGAGAAAATCTTGGAGTCTAAATGTTTTAGGTTGAGCAAAACTAAGATAGACTATTTGGAGTGAAAGTTCAGTTCAGTGACTTACGAGGTAGATGTGGAAGTGAACATTGGTACACAAGTCATCTCCAAGAGAGGAAGTATAAAGTGTTTTGGGTCAATAATCGGGTAATTTTATTATGGGGGCCCAACATTGTTAAACATGAATTGGGATGGGCCCTGCTCCAATACCATGTAAAGAAATGAATCTTGGGCCTAACTCAACCCCAAAAGCTATCTCATGAGGAGAGGATTGCCGAAGACCATATAAACGAACCACCCATCCTTTAAACCATCAACGTGGGACTCTTCACAGATATATTTAGACTCGTGGTTCTCTCATAAATTTGGCTCCCAACACAGATTCTGTGCTGATGAATATACTGTTACCATTATCAAAAAAAAATAAAAAATTGTCTGAGGTGTTTATGACAACAACATGGGGAGAAGGAGTGAATTTGCAAAAAATCGTTTTTAGAGAGGGAGAGGGAACTTATGATAGTATGATTATCCAGTTTTGGCAAGAACTAATACAACAACCACACCTCAGTCTCAATCAAGTTTGGTTAGGTTATATGAATCTTCACTAACCATGTTCCCCAGTTTTTGCAAGAATTATATTGGAGTTACAAATCTAACCAATCTGAACTGAAGTGCAAAGGTCATCGATATAACAAATACGAGATGCATAAACGTTATTTTCTAGATAATTGAACCCAAGGCTTTGAAGTTCTTGGAGCCGAAACTTTACTCTTGGACTAGGTCCGCTTCATTTTTGTGTTTCTTTATAATATTGCATCATGTGGTTGTTTATTGTTATCTAATGAATTTCCTTTATGAAATGCTCCTTATTGATATGATTATCCTTACTCATCTGAAATACATGTAGGTCCAACTTCATTTGCCCCAATAGTCAATGCTGCAGTTGATATAGTGGAAGCAACTAATGGGCAGTATCATGTCCTTGTCATTATCGCAGACGGACAGGTTCATATCTTCTTCGAAATAATTTGACTTCTTCCTAGTTTCATCCGTAGTTATTCCAGATTCTAAAAACAGGTAACAAGGAGCCTTGACACTCCGCCTGGAAGCCTTAGCCCTCAAGAACAGGCTACTGTAAATTCCATTGTTGCTGCTAGGTAAACAGGCGACCTTTCTTAGAAGTTGATTTATAGTGCCATTCTCCTGCCTGACTTGACATGCTTGCATGCAGTGAATATCCTCTTTCAATTATTCTGGTTGGTGTTGGAGATGGCCCATGGGATGAAATGAAACGTTTTGATGATAACATTGCACAACGGGAATTTGATAACTTCCAGGTATAACTGAAAGATATTATTTATCTTTGCTTCCATCTCTTCAGCATGTCTGGTTAAGCCAACTATGCTTCGCCTTTCATTTGTTCTAGATATTTTTGTTTTTTTTTTCGTTCTGGATTTTACAGTTACGATATTTGTGGCTATGAGGGTTACCTTTCGTCCTTTTTCCCTTTAGCACTTACAGATCGAAGATAAGTCATTATCCTACCATGTCTTTTACAAGCTTGATTGCTGGTTCTCCTATTGGTCGATATCGCCTAGGAAACAATTGCTAACTTGCTGCCCAGTTTGTCTAGCATATCTGGCAAAAAATTCTATACAAAGACTATACCTTTTCCAATAGGAGGTTGTCATTCTGTGATTGCTAGCTGGTTCAAATATTTTAAACAGATACCGAAAAAGTAATTTATTGTTAAATCTCAGGGATGAATTGAAGCTGATTTCGAGTAAGAGGATTTGCAGGAATCTTCTCTAAACAGCTTGTGACATCTGCCTAATACACACTACTATTACTATTACTGCACCACATGACCTGTCTCCTAAAGGTTTCCATGCTTTTGGTGAAGGATTTTTCTTCCAACTTCTAGGTGTGTTCTTGCTCGCTCCCCTCCCCCAACTGCTCTTAGCTGTAAACCTATTGAAAAAGGGTTATCTACTAAAAAAGAAGAGAAACTAAAACAGAAAGCATCTTTGCAACCTCCTCTTCTCTTCATGCTCATCTTTTGCATCAGGAAAATGGTTTGCTGCAATACTTCTTTCTGGCATTATAATCTGTTAGAAAGGAGAGAATACAGTAACAAAATTCATTTCCATAAGGATGAGAATGTGAATGTGCTAAAGAGGGCAAGCACTGTCA